AAGTCTTTGGTTCTTTTAATTGTGATGATTTTGGCTCACATTTAACAAAAATATATATATATATATATATATATATATATATATATATATATATATATATATATATATATATATATATATATATATATATATTAGCCTACTTGTTTCAGGAAGTTCAGGGAACATTAAAAAAATTTAATTTCCAAAATGTTTGCAAAGTCATAAAATGAATTAATCCTTTAACATTTTTATAACCAAGAAAAAAAAACATTTTTAAATCAATGAATATTTGGAATGTTCAGAGAAAATTAAGAAATAAAGTTTTCATAACATTAGCAAAACATTGTCAGCTGTGATGCAAGATTGATTTTTCAGAATCCTATTCTTCTTGGACCTGTGAATCTTTTGACTGTATGAATCATACAAAATGCTGGTAAGTATGTAATTACAAATATAAATTAATGAATATTTCTTGTGTTAAGTTTGTCCTTCTGGACTGACAGGATGATCAAAGATTCGAAGTAATCGATTGACATCACCTCAAATTTGGCTACATTTATTTTCTAAAACCCATATCTTTACCAGATTTGACCAAAGACATAATACAAATTTATATATTGACACAAAAATGGACACAAAACAATAGCATATAAAATTATTTTATACACACTTACCAGTGATGTAAAGTCTGGTGCCATCGCTGAGCTGTAGAGTGCTGCCTGTTTTTACAATATAATATATTCCTAGTTCATCAACAGTTACATTACTAATAAATAAATGACACCAAGTTAGTGATGAATATTTGTCTTTTAATCTATCATCAAATAAAAAAGATGCTGTAGAATATGCCATTAAAGTTCACAGTATCAGCACCGGAGAATCTTTCAGTTTCTGGAAAACCCAATAAATGTGTTCTACACCAATCTGACAGTATAAAGTCACGTTTGCCCCTATATTCACCAGTTTATTGGTTATACACTCTCTAGTTTGACACACCAGTAGAACTGTGAAGAAACACACAGATCATTCAGATTATTCACATTGACATGACAAAATGATTAAAATCTGAAAAATCTTTAAAATCAGAAAAACCGAGTAATTTAGCAAAGACTAAAAGCTGCTCCGTCCTCATTCTGTGGTTTTTTTCAATGATATGCCGTAAGAGAGTTAAGACTAATCTGAGCAGAAATCAGAATAGAAAAATAGGAAACCAGCAAAAACACTTTATAGTGATAAAGTGAAAAATATGTGAAGATGAAGAAATCAGAGGCCCATGCGCTGATGTTTTTCACAATGTGTGACTTTGTACACAAACTTGAACCAGACCAGAGTTCAAGCCAAATAACCCACAGCTGTGAGAAAACAGACGGTAGCAAGACAATGAAGACTTTAAATAGAAATAACCAAAAGACTCACTACAGCACAGAGCATTACATAAGTTTTATATGTCAAATAGAGTATGCCTATTTATTGACATTGAAATATGTTAATAAACCCTTATAACATAAACTTACAATTTAATTATTAACACATAAACAAAAAAATAAAAAAAATAAAAAAATAAGCATTTACATATATCATACTTAAGGTAAACAAGCATCCGGTCCAGTCAATAAAGACACAGGAAACATAAAGATTATTCACGTCATCTCACATTAAATTTTTATAACACCAAGCTTTACAATATTTGAACTAATGCATACAATCAGGTTAGCATGACTTACATTTTAAAATATATTCTCATATAAAACAGTTAATGTAAATGATAGTAGTTCATAATATTTATTTTTCCTGTTTTTTTACTTTGACGATTTTGCGATTTTACATCATTATGTGTATAAAAGCCCAGAGTCAAAGAATGAAGCCACTCAAAATAAACATATAAGGATTCCGCTCACGCTAGGCCGCTGTGTTTTTCGTTGTGAAAGCGAAACTACTTTGTTTGGTCTTCCAAAAGATGACACAACTACAAATCAGTGGTTAAGTTGTATTTACAACACTGTTCCAGAACAGTTCAACCCAAATATCCAGACGTTTACTGATCCTGGGAGAGTAACGTTAGACTAAAATGCCGGCAGTTCTGACTCACAGTCTGTAAGTACGTTTTCATTTAAAGGATTTGCCACTGATGATTCAAATGCGAGTTTTGGGCAGTGTAGAGTAGTGCTTGTTGTTTGTCATTTCTCCGATCACAAATGCAGACAGGGTTTTATGTTTACGCGGTGCGATGCAACGCAACGCGTAAAAAGACAGTATAAGTCATTATAATCAGTAATTATGATAATTAACCAGCAGACCTGTGAAGAAACACACAGATCATTCAGATTATTCTGTACAATTTAACATTGTGAACAAATTCCCTTTTAGGCGAGACACTGTAGGTGAATAGGGTAAACATATTAACTAATAGTTATCACCTTACTTTCCCAGTTGATTGATTACATTGATAATAGCAAACATTTTTTGTATTACAAGTGTTCTAAAATGTTATGTTTAAATATGCAAATGAGGCAGTATTTATTTAAATATGTGCTAATTTGCATACATTTCTAGTACAAAAATCTGAACACTGGATGAAGTCAGTTTCAAAATTCTTGTTTAATTTTTTTGACATATTAGAGTCAAATGTTTTTACAGAGGGAAGTTTGGGTATCTCTTTTTGTCACTTCATAATTCATAAAAATCTTTGAACAGAAAACTATATGTTTTCACAATTTGGGGGGGAATAAAATGTTGTGTACAATCAAGCAAATTATATATGAACAAATCCCTCTGTAAAAACCTTCAGGATATAGACAGGAATAAAAAAAATTAAAGTTTGGTGTGTGTAAGTGCTACTGAAGTGGAGATGGAGAAAAAAACCATTTTGAGAAAACGGCCTTTAAAAATATGTATTGTAATTGAAATCTATTGACACAAATAGATAAAGTGCTAACAAATAAGCACTTAACAGTGTCTTTTGCATGTTTTCTTTCCACTAGTCTTTATCAACACTTTATGAAAAGCCAAAAAGCCCAAAAGCACAAAATCTCAAAATTGACAGGTGCATGAAAAATTGTGTTTTTGCCTGCAGTATCTCCCCTTAAAACTATTCAATCCTGACAAAACCAATAAAATCATTAAAACTGAGTAATTTACCGAAGACTAAAAACTGCACCGTTCTCATTCTGTGGTTGTTTAAAGGGGTATATGATGCCATTTCAAGTTTTCCTTTCTCGTTGGAGTGTTACAAGCTCTTGGTGCATAAAGAAGATCTGTAAAGTTGCAAAGACTAAAGTCTCAAATCCAAAGAGATATTCTTTATAAAAGTTAAGAGTCAACCACGCCTACCTAAAACAGCTTGTTCTAACACGCCCCCACATGTCTACGTCACGATGTGGAAATATTAGCATAATGCCACCAAAATGTGCACGCAAAGAAAGAAGGCGTGGTTTCAGGAACAGCTGTCGTGTTGATAAAGCCATGTCAGGGAGACGCTGTGTGATTCAGTGCGAAAGCAAAAGCAATGCGGTGCAATAGACGGATGCCACATCCGGATCAAGCCACCAGCAAGTGATGCCCCATGCTATTGTAATAGGAAGCTGTTCCACGCTGTTCAGCTGCAGGCCATCACCGACCACAAGGGGAAGTTCCTCCATATCTTTGTTGGATATCCCGGGTCTGAAAAGCACAATATCAAGACAGTCAATTACATTCATTAGGTTACTGTATTACTATGACATGGAAAAACATTAGCAATTCGCCTACTATATAGTATGGAAGTATGCGATTTCGGACGCAGCATATGTGTTTGAGAGAGGCGAGGCATAAAGGACCTACAATAATGTACAGTATTTGAAAAATTATGTGTTTTTTGAACATTAAAGCATGTCAACATATTCTGTTATACCAAATACACAAAATAATGATCTTTAAAATAGCATCATATGACCCCTTTAAAGGATATACAGTAAATAGTTCAAATGAAGCAAAATTGCTTCTGCAGAATAAAAGAGGAATGCAGCAAACACACTTAATAGTGATGAAATCGATTAGATATGAAGACGAAGATACCAAAGGCCCATGCGCTGGTATTTTCCACAATGTGTGACTTTGTACGCAATATGAACCAGACCAGAGTTGAAGCCAACTAACCCACAACTGTGAAAAAAAAAAAACAGACTCAGAGCGGACGACTGCAGCAAAGACTACAGCACTCGGCATTACACAAGCCAAGTTTTATTCATCAAATATGCAACACAGCTTATTGATTGGCAGTGAAATACATTCATAAATAATTTACACAGTTCATAAACATTCAATCTGCATATTAACACCACACACTAACATTTTCTTAGCTATCCAAATGGGGACATTGCATAGACTTTTATTGTTTTTATATACAGAACAGAAAACCTTCCATATCTTTTGCAGTTGTTAAAATACTTAATTTATCCTACTTTGTTTTTAAACCATTTTTACAAATGATGATTTAAGGAGGTTTTGGGAGGCTTAATCAGATTCTTGGTGAAAAATTCTCCCCAAAATAGGTGGTATAGTTGTCCACAATTTAGAACAAACAAATGAGCATTTATCCACCTTATTATACCATAGCATAAGAGCGGGCACAGCCATTTGTGACTTGAATGTGCCAGGCTTCCAGTTATTTAACCTATGCAAAGCAAGTGTGCCTCACACATCTTGAAAAGTGAAGCCAAAACATTTCCATCGCCATCTGATGGCTGACTGCAGTACAGGTCATAAACCCCGCCTTCTAAAGGAATGGCATGTGAGCCAAACTAATCAATCAAAATGACACTTCAATTGAATTTTTCCCAAAGATGGTTTTCACAGCCAGTCCAACCAATCAGAACACAGGAAACATTATATGTCACCTCACATTACTTGAATATATTGCTACTGAAAAGTAAAGAGAAGTAATGCTGAAAAAATATTGATAATATTTCATTACATGTTCAGGTAATACACATCAGTCAATCTTAACCAACAATCAAGCTAACAACATTTTTTCTGTGATTATTTATCAAAATATACTTCTATTAAACTGTATGAGACAATTTACTCTTGATTATATTTGTCTAGGTTTTGTCATTGGCTTTTGAAAAGGAACAAAAGTGTTGTTGGTCGGGTGAAACAGACGAAACTCCACTTCAGAAAACTGCCAAACAAAAGATAAATGAGCTTCTAATGTCCATGTAGAAAGATTATATTCAATAAACACACACTGAATTCTGAATAAGAGCGTCGTACCTCTTCACCATTTGTGCTGTAAAGCTGCTCCAGTTCTTCATCTTGACATTGTTGGTGTCTTTTTTTACACGCTTGGAGTTTGATCTGAAATAGGCCTTAAACAGCACCAACATTTCTGATTAAATATGATAAAATTCATGTAGCAAAAAGTATCAAGTAATACAAAAAACATTTAAAGGACATCTTTTATATTATTATTATTATTATTTTATATGATATGTCGAGTCCTGAATTCTCACCTATTACTGCAGAAAACATCACAATGTTCAATATAACATATAACACAATCAGAGCCTGCTGTGTTTTCGGATGTTGTGACTGATTGTTCAGTTCTGTCTGATTCTGATCTTGAGCTGCTTAAGAACAAAACATACAAGAGTTTTGTGTTCGTAAATTCCAAATATGCATCAATATTACATAGACCTCTGATAGAAATAAAGGACAAATACAAATTTAACACACTGTGCAATGTGCATGTGGTAACTGCTTTTAGATCATTCAACAACAGATCGAACTGATTTATCAAGATAATGTTATATACACTCACCAATGATGTCAAGTCTAATACCATCGCTGAGCTGTAGAAATGAGCCTGTTTTTACACAATAATATATTCCTAATTCATTGATAGTTACGTTACTAATAAATAAACGGCTCAAAGTTAGTGATGAATATTTGTTTTTCAGACTTTGGTTTTTTAGACGAGATATTGTAGATTCTGAAGAGAAAGTTCGCAGTATCAGCACTGGAGAATCTGTCCCTTTCTGGAAAACCCAATAAATGTCTTTTACATCAATCTGACAGTCTAAAGTCACGTTTTGCCCTAAATTCACCCGTTTATCAGTTAAACTCTCTGTGGTTTGACACACCAGCAGACCTACACAAAAACACACAGATCATTCAGATTATTTCTATTTCCACAGCAATTCAACACATGACGGCCATAATAAAAACAGAACAAAATCTTGCATGAACTTAAACTTACAGAAGAGTAAAAGCTGCACCGTCCTCATTCTGTGTTGTTTAATTCATATGCAGTAAGGTGGTTAACTTTACTATGAATGTGAGCGGAAGTGCTGCAGAATTTAAGAAGAAAAAGGAAACCACTCCCACAAAGAAGATGTGGCTGAACTTGAACTGACCGGACAACTTACTGTCATTAAAGCATTTAAGGGGTGTAGGGGAATTACAGTTAAACCCCATAGAGAGAACTGAAGACAGAATTTTCCACTCTTCCAAGGACTTTAGAAAATGAGTAAGAGAAGCCATCCTCAAACTAACTTAGAATACAGAAACACTAGTACTTATAGTCATATATGGATGACCGGTTGACGTCATTTCTACAAGTTGTGATACGCTAACAGTACAGATAATTCTAGCAACTTCAAAACATTTTATCAAGATAATGTTATATACACTCACCAATGATGTAAAGTCTAATACCATCGCTGAGCTGTAGAAATGAGCCTGTTTTTACACAATAATATATTCCTAATTCATTGATAGTTACGTTACTAATAAATAAACGGCTCAAAGTTAGTGATGAATATTTGTCTTTCAGACTTTGGTCTTTTAGACGAGATGATGCAGATTCTGATGTGAAAGTTCGCAGTATCGGCACTGGAGAATCTGTCCCTTTCTGGAAAACCCAATAAATGTCTTTTACATCAATCTGACAGTCTAAAATCACGTTTTGCCCTAAATTCACCCATTTATCAGTTAAACTCTCTGTGGTTTGACACACCAGCAGACCTACACAAAAACACACAGATCATTCAGATTATTTCTATTTCCACAGCAATTCAACACATGACGGCCATAATAAAAACAGAACAAAATCTTGCAAATCTTGCATCTTAAACTTACTGAAGAGTAAAAGCTGCACCGTCCTCATTCTGTGTTGTTTAATTCATATGCAGTAAGATGGTTAACTTTACTATGAATGTGAGCAGAAGTGCTGCAGAGCTTAAGAAATAAAAGGAAACCACTCCCTTGAAAAGAAGATGTGGCTGAACTTGAACTGACAGGACAACTTACTGTCATTAAAGCATTTAAGGGGTGTAGGGGAATTACAGTTAAACCCCATAGAGATAACTGAAGACACAATTTTCCACTCTTCCAATAACTTTAGAAAATGAGTAAGAGAAGCCATCCTCAAACTAACTTAGAATACACAAACACTAGTACTTATAGTCATATATGGATGGCCATTTTGATGTCATTTCTACAGGTTGTGATACGCTAACAGTACAGATAATTCTAGCAACTTCAAAACTATTCAGTCATTTTTAATTAAAACAGGCAAAAGCAAGTCATGTTTTAAAGTCCTTGAAAAAATTTTTTTATCAAGCAATTCTGATCATTTGAAGCAAACAGCGATAAATCAACACAATCTCTCAGTATGAAGCTGTTTCATATACAGAGTTTGGCTGAACTTGTAGATATTCAGGATCTGTCAGTGCCGCTGGTCTGAATGGATGTTATTCCTCTGTCACGCTCACCGAACTTCACATCAGACTTCTAAACAATGATTAAAATTAATAATATAAATGTTTTATACAAATTCATTTAGAAATTAAATAGTTTACATATGAATGTTAATAAAAATAATTTTTTTAATAATAATAGAAAAATGATGATGATGATATCCTAATAATAATCAGATGTATTACCAGTGATGTATCAGTGATGATCTTCAGACATTTCTTTTAGAGAAGCACAGGTAAAGTAACATATTTAATGTGTTGCCTGAACTGGGCATTCATTTTTGCCATTAAGATTGCAAAACAATTTTGCATAAATAATAATAATATTTGTATTGATGTATTGCAGTTTCTCCCTTACCAGTGGTGTGCAGTCTGATACCATCACTGATCTGTAGAGCAAAGCCTGGTTTTATACAGTAATAAATTCCTAAATCATCAACACTGACATTATTGATTACTAAGTGGCTTCTGTCTCCTTCTGAATATTTCTCACGGAATTTTTCATTGTAATATTCAGGCTTTTCTGATCCAAAAGTTCGCAGTATCATCTCCGGACGAGCTGGTAGATTCATTACAAACCAAATAACACCTTTTAATCTGTACTCACAGGCTAAAGTCACACTCTGTCCTAAAACCACCTGCTGATCAGTTAAAGCTTCTGTGGACTGACTCCACACAAACAGACCTGAAGAAACAGAAAACAGATCATTGAGATCATCTGATCATGACAGAATCACACTCAATCCCACAGAAATAAACTTACAGAGCAGTGAAAGCAGCAGCGTCTTCATTCTGGGAGCTTGTTGAACGTGTGTTCAGGTTGAGCTTGTGTTCAGGTTGAAGTTTATAGTGTCTCTTAGAGGAAGTGCTACTGCTGAGCTGCAGAAAATATAAAATTAAACAAATGACTCACTGAAATGAAGCAAGTTCAACCTGATCCTTTTACTGTAAGTAATGCCTCATTTTCAAAAAAAATCTGGATCAAATATACATCTTACCTTCCATTCAATATCAGTTCATAATTGCTATTTTAATTAAAAAAAATAGAATACAGAACAAAATACGGAGAAACAGGTGTACAAGATGCATAATTTTCTGCAGCTTCATCAAATTTTTGTTAAAGATGCTAAAAATAACTTTCTGGTAGCGATTGCTACTTGTAATGGGGCTGACAAGACGTGAGACGTGCGGATCCATGTGCAAGCTTTTATTAAAGCAAAAGAGGTCAGAAACACAGGCAGGGTCGAACAATGGCAAACAGGTATATGGCGGGCAAGACACAAGAATAATCCTAGGGCTAGCGTAGGTCAACGATCGGCGAACAGAATCAAAAGGGCGAGACTAGAGGGGATAAATCCAGGAAAACAGACAAGGCAAGGCAAGGCAAGACTAGACTAGACTAGACTAGGCTGGGCTGGGCTGGGCAACTAACGAGGGCTCTGTAAAGTAGCTATCACTGCTTGCGATAAGCGCATACAATACTCGGCAGAGAATGGTTGTTTGAGTGAGTGTTAAATAGTGAGTGAGTAATATGAAACAGCTGTGTCCAATCAGTGCAATGAATGATGGGATATGTACTCCGGGATGATATGCAACAGTTTGTGTAGTGCGAGAGTCAATGTAATGGAAAGGGTGACCTCTGATGGTAAGCAGACGGAAGTTCATGGACCGGACTCATGACACTACTCATTCCAGACATGAGGGACAAAACTATAATAAAAAAATTAAAACAATCATCTGTAGGCTGCAGAAATCCGTGTATCATTAGATCATTCGTTTTTTGATTTAATATTGAAAGTAGAAAAATGAGAAAACTGATCCTTTTTCGTTTTTTTTT